GACAGCTGTGTGAGATGCTCACTGCCCGGACCCCGGCGGTGGCTGCGGGTCCCAGCCCCTCTAACGCTGGGCTCCCCTGCCCTCCTTGCTGCCCGTACATGGGGCAAGCCTCTAGTACTCGTGCCACAATAAAATCCCCTTCTGGCTCAGGGGAGCTACTTAAAAGAAACTTCTTTTAGATGAGAAATGACAGGAGAGTGTTCTTTGGTCTCGCAGCAGCTGTTCAGGTCAACATCTTGAATGTGGCCGGCTTGTGTGCTGGAGGCAAGGGGCAGGGCTCAGAGCCAGGCCCTGTGGCAGGCAGCCTCACTCACCGGGGCCATTTCTCTCTTCCTCACAGCAGAGCGGTGCGGGGGATCGTAGTACATCTTGGAGTGACTCCGCTGGCTTATGGGACGTTGGCTTGGACCCTTTGTGACACCGTGCTACATGGGACGATGACAACTCAGAGAGAAAAAAGGCCCGAGGTCACCCTCGCTTGCCTCCTCTTAGCCGCAGCAGGCTGCTTTGCCGACTTGAGTGAGTGCCTCCCTTCCCTTTCTCAGCCCACCCCTCTTGCAAGAACACTTTGTCCCCTTGTGTCACATTCAGTAGTGACCCTTTGTAAAGGCCTTCCTTTTCCTGAATTTCAAAGAACACTTCATTCCCACCGGCCTTCGGAGATACTCTCAATAATGCAAGATGAGAAATCACTCATATTGGTTGTACTTTAGAATTTTAATCATTTCAAATATATACCAGTGGAGGAGGAATGATAATAACTACCTTTAACTGAGCACTTACTGTATAAGATTATGGCAGGCAGTTGACATGCATTGTTTGTAAGCTTCACAACAACCCTGGGAGGCAGGTGTTACTAGCCCCATGTTATCAGTCAGAAACCGAGACACAAAGAGGCTGAAGTGACGTGGCTCAGAAGGAGTGGCCCTGGGGTTTGGACCCAGGTCTGTCCAACCCCAAAGCCTAAGCCCTCACCTTTGCTCCCCGCTGCCACTCCAGTCTGCCTTCTGAGAACTAGTACAGGCTGGGGAATGGGCCCAGGCACCGTGGAGTTCTTCAGACGAAGATCGACTCCTCCCAGGCGCCCGGCTCTGAAAGGCCGCCTGGGTGCTGTGCTTCTAAAAAGGTCATGTTACTGGTTTCAGTGGGGGTGTTCGTTCATGGCTACGTCCCTGTTCTTCCTCCAGACCAGGTCCCTCAGGTCACTGTCCAGCCTTCTTCCACGGTCCAGAAGCTTGGAGGAACGGTGATCCTGGGCTGTGTTGTGGAGCCCCCGTGGATGAACACCACCTGGCGCCTGAACGGGAAGGAGCTGAATGGCTCAGATGATGCTCTGGGCATCCTCATCACCCGCGGGACCCTCGTCATCACCGCCCTCAGCAACCACACCGTGGGACGGTACCAGTGTGTGGCCCGGATGCCTGCAGGAGCCGTGGCCAGCGTGCCAGCCACTGTGACGCTAGCCAGTGAGTGCTGCCCCTTTGCTCCTCAGCCACAGTGCACTCTCCCATTCTTTCTCTCCCCCAGACCATTCATACCCCTTGTCGGTAGTGTTCATATGAAAGGGGGCCTTACAATTTGAAATTTCAAACCAGAGAGTGGTAGCTGCCCAGCAGTCCCCAGTGGTGGAGGACAGTTGTGCCTCTGGGAAGCTGCTAAGTAGGGGCAGTGTGTGGAGTGAGTGTCTTGAAAGAGGGGAACTCGACATGGTTGAACTGTTTCCGTGCCACGCCTTTCGACTTTCCCTCTAGCTGTGGGTGTGGTAGTGCCCGCTCCTCCCCGTCTTCCCCGCCCTCCCCGCCCTCCCTGCCCCGTGCCCCGCACTCCCCGTCCACTCTGTCCTCCCCGCCCCGTGCCCTGCACTCCGGGTCCTCCCTGCCCTCCCCGTCCTCCTCCCCTCTCCATCCTCCCTGTCCTCCCCGCCCCGTGCCCCGCACTTCGTCCTCCCGGTACTCCCCGCCCTCGCCATCCTCCCCTCCCTACCCATCCTCCCCGCCCTGGCCCCGCACTCCGTTCTTAGGGCAGTTATGGTCAGAGCACTTACAAGGCCATGTGGAGTCCGAACAGAGCTGCCCATCCCACACTTGGCCTCCTGTCTGTCTGAGGGCCAAGCAGATTCCAAACGCCTGACAAATAAATAGTAGAACACATGAAAAGGAAACTGTGTGACAAAGAGTAAAGAGAACAGAAAAGAGGATGAGATTGGGGTACAGTTTGGTCCAAGGAGGATGCCAGGTGAAGACTTTATACTACTCTTAATTTGTAATTACCACCTGGGTATATTATGGTGCCCAGGTGCAAAGCACACATTGCCTCATTTTCTACCCACTGTACATACGGGAGACGAGACTTACTGACGAAATAAACTTCTGAAGGCTGCAGGGCAGCCCCAGCATCTGTCCTTATAGCTGAGTCTAGAACCAGGAAATATTAAGAATGACCTCTTCCTCCTTGGAGCCTTGTTCCCTCATGACCTAGCAGGGTCCCCTTACCCCTGACAGCCTTGCTTCAGACTTCCACATCACCATCCTTATCACCCTCCTGAGCGATGTGTGTTAGGGGTCATGCCTAAAGCAGCAAACTTCTGAAATGCTCCTTAAAGGTTGGCTGGGGTCTCTGGGGTGTACAAGGCGTGAGTCCTGGAGAAAAGCGGTAGGAGATGGGGAAATAGACCAACAGGGGAGAAAAGACCTCTGCCTGCCCTCCAATTCTCAGGTCCCTGAAGGGACTTCCCTCTGTGAGAGAACAGAGGAGAGTCTGCCGGCAGTGTTCCTGTTTTCTTGGGAAACAGTCAAGCAGCCCTGCCCTTTTCTCAGAGAAGGGAGAAGGCAGGGCGGGTCCTCAGCTGCCCCTCCAGGGCCCAGGCTGAGCCTGGGCTGCATCCTGCAGCCTCCCCACACAGTGGGAGCCATTTTCCTTGGTGACAGAAGAAGCACATTGAATCTGAGCCCCAGGCCTCTGGGAAGCAGGCTGTGCATGCTGGGTGAGGGAGGCAGATCCTGGGACACCAGCTGGGCCCTCCCCTCCACCTGTGCTTGCGGGGTGTGAGGAGGAGGGTACCAGCAGACTTAGGTGAGGAGGGTTGAGGGTAGGGAGGGGTCATCTCATCATACAAGAAGGGCTGAGGTCAGAGCTACTCTCCTACCATCATATTGCTCTTATGTTTTTCAATTGTAATGAAAATGACAGAGAGCACAGAGTTTATAGAAGATAACATTTCCCCTCAGCCCACCGTCGTCACACAACCACCATTTACCATTTTGGAGTATACCCTTCCAGTCTTGATCCATACCCATACTTTCTTTTTTTATTGAAGTATATAATTGACATACAATATTAGTTTCAGGTGTATAACATAGTGATTTGATATTTGTATACATTGTGAAATGGTCACCACTAAGTCTACTTAACATCTGTCACCACACACAGTCTATTACTAATTGTATTCCTTGTGCTGTACATTATATCCCCATGACTTATTTTATGACTGGAAGCTTGGACTTCATGATCTCCTTCACCCATTTTTCTACCCTGCCCCCCACCCCAGAACCTCCTTCTCCTCTGGCAACCAGGACTCTATTCTCTGTGTCCACGAGTCTGGGTTTTGTTTTGTTTTGTTTTTTAGATTCTACCTGTAAGTGAAATCATGGGGTATCTGTCTTTCTCTGACTTATTTCACTGAGCATAAGGGCATGCCCATTCTTTCACACTGTCCGAGTGATCTGCTGAATATATAGCTTCTGTCCATATTCTCTCCCCTCAGCATTGTGTGGTAAGCATTTTCCATTGGCCATATGACCATATTTACTTTTCCTTTTCTGTTGAGTATAAAATGCATCCAGTAAAGTACACAAAGTGCACTAATAAGTCAACATCCCGATGCATTTTTCATATGTATGGGTAACCATCACTCTAATCACTCTAGCAGGTTCCCCCAAGCCCTTTACCTAGTCATCTGCCCCCCTCCCCACCCCAGCCCACAGCAGAGCAGGGTCAGAGTTACCAATGGCCCTCAAACATCCCCTGAGTGGCTCTACCATACGTACTGATCCCTTTTTCTATTGCTGGGCCATGAGGTCACTTCCAGTGGTTCATTATCACAAGTAAGGTATGCCTTTTAGTAGCGTTCATGCCTTTAAAGGATAATGCTGCTCATTTAGGAGGGTTGCTCATCTGCAGATGGTCAGTCAGCACATGTCTGTGAAGACTCAGGAAACTCCATAACCATTCATTTGGCCTCATTAGGAGCCAGGCTGAACGTTTTATTTGGAGGAAGGGATAGTTGGAGAGTAGAAGATTTACGCTGGAGCCCTCCTTCTACTTCAAGGTGTATCTGTATGAGGAGAGACCATGTTTTGCCCTTATGGTAAAAAAAATTCCTGGCCACCTCTTTCTGTGGTGCTTGAAGGGATCTGCAGTTGACAGTGAGGACAAAGGGGAGGGTTTGATTGCATCCCAGAAGGCCCAGTGAGAGAAGTGGCTTGTGCAGAAGCCCAGTGAGTCTTGCTTGAAAGCCAAGAACTGTTGGCTTGTCGTGGAGACATGAATCAGAAGTGAAATGTTTGGGGCTGACTGGAGGGTTGGAGAAGTGCTGGAAATGAGGAGAGCAGGCTCAGAGGGACTGTGGCCATGGAGTGGAACTGCAGCCTCCCCAGCTAGGAGGAGGCAGGGGGAAGGCGGGAGAGGCGGCAGAACGGGGTGCTGTCTTTGGGCTAATGCCATGGGGGATTTGGCCCAGACTCAGCAGTTAGATTAAGTTTCCGAAAGCACATTCCTGAGCAGAATGGGGGCTGTGTTTTGCTGGTTGGCTGATGGAGGGAGGCTGAGCGGTGAAGGGATTACCAAGGCATGGTCTGCATTTAGAGGCATGGCTGAGCGGTGGCGTGCCTGTGCACACGCACACCCCCCCCACCCCCCCCACCCCCCACCCCCCGCCCACACCCGCCCACACTCAGCACTTAAGGCTTCCTTCTCCTCTGGCCTCTTTTGCCTGCGTTCAGATGTTCGTCCTCAGACAAAGCACTCACTGTTTGGTCTACCTAGCAAGGTGCTGCCTCCTGTGTCTTCGTGAACTCCTAGATCCCTGGGACCTTTCGATGGTGGGGGCTTGGACCTGGCTTGAGGATTCAGGGGTGTGGAGGAGGCCTCTAGCAAGAACTTTCCTGGTCCAGACCTCTTTGACTTAGATGCTGGGGGCTGGCTGGGGGTACGTTTGGACTGCACCCCTATCTGTGGACCTTGGCTTCTGGTCTTCAGGTAAAATGGAACCCATGTGGATTAACTACCGTCTTTGCTCCCTGTGGAGGTGTCCGTCCCACTCTCCTCTCTGTAGAACTTCTCCTGTTGAACCTGAACTTTATTTGTGGTAAATCTCTTGCTGCTAATGCCTCACTTCAGACCACCTTGTCTAATTCTTGCTTTTCAAAATACTTTGGACTTTGATCTCCTTTCTTCCTTTCTCCTTTTTTGCAAGCTTTACACCAGGAGGCCAACCACTCTCCATGGCTCAAGTATTCCCAGTCTCTGCACCTGAACCAACAGCAGACATTGCCAATGGACACCATATTCCTTTTTTCTATACTCTGATTCAGCCTTAGAATTGTTCTCAATCCAGCCCAGCAAGTAATCACAATTCAGCAGAGCTGGCATACAATGTGAAAGCTGTTTTCTATTCCTTACCACTAATAACTCAAATACACTCCTACATAATTCTTCATTTTTAACGTTTTCCATTTTTTTACTATTTAACTCTCCCAGTTTTCCTATCATCCCTAGCTCCCATTCATTGTTGGTAACTGGGTAGTAATTCTATAACTGGGAACTTTAGTCCTCAAGCTAATGTGAAGTCTTCAGCTGATGCTGGTTTGAGACTGGATCTGTAACCCCTCCAGAAGGCCTTTAAGCACTATGACCCAGGCAAGTGCTCGAATTATCCTTTCTCTGGCCTCAGATGTCAGAAGGTGAGGCCACTGACAGGAAAGGGAGGAGCTCCCCTTAGGCAGCTGTCTCCATGACTCTGACTCTGAGGAAGGGCAGAAGGTGACATCATTTAACCCACGAATAAAAGGAAGAGACAAACTGGTATAATGGAGGGAAAAAAAAAAAAAACAAAAACCCTTGGGTTTAAGTTCTGACTCTGCCCTTAGGAGTTGAGGTGACTTTGGGCAAGTCACTTAGTCCCTCAGGTTGCCACAGCTCTGAAATGAGCAGAGTGATAGTTATAACATCAGTATCATGGGTTTTTTGTTTTTGTGTTTTTTTTTTTTCCTTTGAGCATCAAATGATGTAATAGTTCAAAATAGTAATATTTTGAAGCATTTTATAAATGCCGGGCTTTATATGTTCACCCATTAGGTGAGCGAACATTTGCAGAGTGTTCTCCTGCCAGAGGCCCTGGCGCCTGTGTCCAGCCCTGTGCTGCCCAGCTCCGTTCTGGGAGCAGCCTTCAGAAGAATGAGTCCGGGGAGTGGAAAAGCTTCCATTCCTAGCCAGAGCCAAGAGACAGGGCTGGCTCATTGGGAAGGGAGAACTACCCATTACCTGTGAATTTCTCAGCAATATGTATACACTTGAGCTCCAACCCAGATTCCTACCTCCTGGCTGCATTGGAGGGTGGCCGTGGTGTCACCACGTTGCATGTTGTCCCTGTAGCCACAGGGACATTTATGCTCCTGATGGCGCACCGCCCCACCCCCAGCCCCCGCTCCCCGCTCATTCTTCTAACCAGGTAGTTGTTGGCTGGTGCTGGCAGGCGAGGCTGCCCCTGGCCCTCAGCACGGGGTCCCCACAAGCAGAAGCCATGTTTCTTTCTGTTTGTTTTTTGCTCCCCCACCTTTGGTTCCTATCAGACACTTACTGGAGGTCTTCTAGGCTCCGACCCTGAACCAGAACAAGCCATAAAGGACCACTGTGGACATGTCTTTACTAAAATATTTCTAGCTTTCTTTATCCGTATTTGAGTCAGGTTCTCCAGAGAAGCAGAACCGCTTATACATACAAGTACACCGTGGAGAAGTTGTGAGTTTGCTTCCAGACGACTTACAGTAAAGTGAGTCAAATGAATTTTTTGGTATCCTAGTGCATATAAAAGTTATGTTTATGCTATCCTGCAGTCTATTAAGTGTGCAATAGCATTATGACTAAAAAAATTACATACTTAATTAAAAAATACTTTATTGCTTAAAAGGCTAACCATCAACTGAGCCTGCAGTGAGTTGTAATCGCTGGTTACAGATCACCACAACAAATGTAATATTTCAAATCTTTTCATCATTATTATGAGAATTAATAAAATGTAACACAGAAAATGAGCAAATGCTGTTGGAAAATGGCACTGATAGACTTGTTTGATGCAGGATTGCCACAAACCTTCAATTTGTAAAAAAAAAAAAAAAACCAAAAAACAATAAAATGAGGTATGCCTGTGTATGTATATGGAGAAGGAAATAAAAGTAAAAATAGAGTTATTTTAAAGAACTGGTCCACAGGATTGTGGAAGCTGGTGAGTCCAGGATTCGTAGAGCAAGCCAGCAGGCTGGAGATTCGGGAGTCCCACTGGCAAACCGCAAAGCACCCATTCTCCAGCAGTGAGTTCAGAGTTTGGATGTTTTGGAGATTGGTGTCCTGAGAATTGTGTTCAGAGTTTCCAGCAGAACACAGTTAGACCTGACCCTTGCCTTTGAGGAGCTCTTAATCTGATGGAAAAGATTGACTGCAGTAACGTGTTAGCCCTAAAACAAGTCAATCCCCAGCCGAGATAATAACCAGATTTTCCTGGGAACTCAGGCTGACAGTGATTCATTTCAATTTCAGGGGATTGAGGAAGACTTGGGAGTTGAACCTGAAACAGTGTGTCTGGGACAATCTTTCTCTCTCATTTCTTGAGTTCTCTCATACCTTTCTCAGACCTTCAACAACTAAATTTAGCTCTTAGTGTTGCGTACTTAGATTTAAGCCCAGTGCAGTTTCTGGGACGATACAGATACGTCCACAGGGAGTTTGATTTCCGTAGTGAGATAATTCCATGGTGAGTTCAGTCACATCCTGAATGTAGCCACCAGATGATTGTCTCTCTCTTGCTACCCCATCGGATTCTCCCCTAACTCTCCCCCATTTCTCACTGTCTCTCTTTTCCCTTTGGGAATGTATATTCTGTGATTAATAAAGGAAAGCTCAGAGTGTTTTCTCCAGTGCCACTCCTCTCCGCCAGTCCGCTTCAGCCAGCCAGTGACTCCTTAACAAAACAAGAAGGAACCATTCGCTCCAAGTTGGCAAAACATTTGTTGTTAGCTTAGGCATCTGAGGGGGAGTCCTGTGCAAACCCTTTGCTTTGCAGCAAATGGGCAGTGGCAGGAAGAAGAGTTGGGGAAGGAAAGGAAACACAGGTGGCATCCTGAGCTGGCCCAGGAGGGAAAGGGAGTCCGCAGCTGGAGGCTGGGCTGGCGATTCTGCCAGGCTGGGGAGATGGAGGCAGCTCTACGGGGTGGTGGACACAGTCAGAAAGGGAGAATGAGCCTCAGTGTGAGATTTAGCTGCTTTATTCTGTAAGTTTTGTTTTACTTTGCCAATTGGACAAGAAAATTCGTGACCATTTAAATCCAAAAGGAGCTAAGCCACTTGAATATCTAAATAGGAAATGACTAGGGAATACCTTATAGTATTAAACCAAAGTCCTGTTAACCAAAGTGCTGTTTTCTACTAGATACAGGCAGAAGTTCATGCCTCATGTGCTATGAGCTCAGCTCAGGGCATCGTGGCAGCAACTGTCTGCCCCAAACAGCCAGGGTTCCAATTCTCTATTTAGCAATCATCACAATTTACCAAAAGAAGACCTCAAGTCCATGGTACATCTTCTACTAAGGACACACTTACTTCTCTCCTCAACCTGTTCTTTGCACACACAGCCACATGCTTAAGTAAAAATCTTAAGTCCATCTTTTTATCTAAGAGCAAAGGGAAGACCTCATAGTGTGTTAAGCAGGTACCACCTATAAATTCAATGAGCCAGAGCAGACTTTGCTCAGGAGGGTGAGGGAAGCATTGATTAGCTTACTTGAAATCACTGGAGCCCTCTAAGGAACATGATGCAAGATGATTCCTTTAAAATAAAAAATCAAGAGAGCAAATGAGTCCCTTGGATCCCCCTTTTTTGTGTGTGGAAAAGCTTAGGGATTTCTACCTTGACCTTGTTCTTAGACTTTCAACCTTTCCAGGAGTCTGGTAATAACCCTGAGAACAGTAGAACAGCGAGTCTGTCCTGGAAGAAGATGTAGCCCTGCAGGTGGGTCAGTGTTCACATCTAAGATAAAAACAGTCCCTCAATAGTGAGACAAAATGTAGGCAAAAGGGAAAAAAAACTTGCTGAGGCAAAAACAGCATTTTTTTTCTGAGGGAAAATGATGTTTAATGTTGAGTGACTGTGTTCCTTTCCTTACAAACGTGTGATGACTCCAGGAATCACAGAACAGGACTCGGGCTGTGGTGCGGCACTTAAGCCCGTCTCTCAGCCTCACCTCCCACTCTAGGCCCCCCAAACTCTGCCACTTCCTCATCTCATCTTGCACTTTCCCCTTGTTTTTGGAATGGTGCCCCATCTGCCGTCAACACCATCCTTTCCATTCCCTTTCCCAGAACATGCCTATCTTCCTTGGGATAATGAATTCCTTCTCAGTTTTCAAGACTTGCGTATCTTCTCTGGGAGTCTTTTCTCGATGCCCTCAACTTCCCGAGTCTGAAGTGGGGTCTCCTCTCCCAGCTTCCTCACCACCCTGTTTGCTTCTGTAGCCCTCTCGTTTGCCTGGAGGACAGAGACTGCTGCCATTCATCTCTGTGACCACACGGCTTCCCACAGGACCTGGCACCGAGTAGGCCTTCAGTGAATGTCTAGAAAGAGGAGGACTCCCAGATAAGATGTGTTTGAAGTCTAGAAGGTCAAAAAAGGCATGCAAAAGGCGAGCAAAGATTTCTTCACCAAACCCTGATCTATGAAGAGGCTTAAGGAAGTAAAAAAGGATGAAGCAAGGACTTAGGATATAAACGGGTTGAAGATACAAATAGATTCAGGGAGGGTTCAGAAAAATTGATGGATGTCAGAAGGTCTGTTTCAAAGGAACTGAGATATTTGGAGGAACCTTTGGAAACTTTGAAGGGAGATGCCAGTGAATGTGGCTCCGCATCCTACCACACACTTCATGGGACACTGTCAGCGGTGGTGGGCAGTTTGCATCAGTAGCCACCGCTGCCTGTAGGGGTATATAGTTCCCAGGTGTGGAGGGAGAAAAAGTGGAACCACCGTGAGCCCCGCTGGCCTTAGGACGGCACCCGTACCTCCCACCCAGGGTTCTGCATGTGGGGACCATGCTGGAGCTCCCCTCTCCCTTCCTCCTGAGTGCCTTGGCCTCCCTTTTCTCCCCCCTCCCTCTTCCCGTACAGGCCGCTAGCCTGCCAGAGACTCTGCCAGGATCCAGCTCTGGCTCTCCTGATCCCAGACCACCAGGACTCACATTAATTTTCCCATTGCTACGTTTGTAGTTTATATTTGGTTGATCAGAGAAATATGTATGATGTGGGTTGCTGGCAAGTACATCTTTTTTTCTTCCTCCTCTTTTTCTTAAGTGTATTTTCTCAAACCATTTCATTTCTTCATTGAGTCCAAAAGAAACTCCCAAGTTCTGCTCACCAGCCCTACCTCATTGCAGTGCTAAAGTCAGATAAATGAGATGGTCTACAGACATCTTCTCTGTTCATCTGGCTGCCAGACTCAGTGGACACATGGCCCCCATCCTTGCCTTGTCTTCAAGGATTAATCACATTTCTTGTTCTCTTATTTTTTAAAAAATATTTTTAGTGATTTAAGCCAAGAAATTCCAGAAGCCTTAGACCAGTTTATTGCACATCATTTAATGACATTGCAAACTAGGTTCTTTTTTTTTTTTTCCCCCTTCTTCCTATCATGCTCCTCCCTTTATACCCTTTCTCCACTCCTGCCCACCTCCGGTCTTGGCTTTGATCTTCTGCCCTCATCCTCCTAGTTCTCTCATCTTCCCTGCCTCCTCAGCTTTCTCCCATGGCTCAAATCTGAGTGCAGATCCCACCTCAACTCCAGGAGAAAGAAAGAAACACAAGATGGAACAAGTAATGTATTTGGCATCTGCAAGGGTCTTTTTTTTTTTTTTTTTTACCCCCATGGAAACTGTTTTTATTTAAATAAGAGACAGCATGCCTTACTTTCATCAGAAAGTGTGTTTGAAAAATTTCATGCCATGTCTCTCAGGAGAGAGTTTTAGAGACAAAATTATTTGTGCAATTAGACAGGCAGAAAAAACTCCTAACGAAAGCAAACATATTTATCCACTCTCTCTGCCTGCAGAGGGAGGATGAATACTCCCTCTGCCAACCCCCTCTGCCCTAAGTTGCTCTAGAGCTCAAGGTGACCTGATCTAGGCTGGAACGCTGGTAGAGACAGTAGGGACTAAGCCTGCAGATAATACTCTTGCAAATTATTGTACCCTCCCTTGTGTGTTGTTTTTACCTATCTTATCTATCAGAGTAAAGGTCCCTGAGGTTAGGAACTATATTTTTGTCTTCGTGATCTCTTCTGCAGTGCCTGACATACTAGACAATTCTGTAGCTCCTGGCTGAATGAATGAGTCAGTGATGTCTGGAGGGGATGGTATGTGCCAGATGTCTACTGTGGAGTATACTGGTTTTGCTCAGCCTTGTGGCCACAGTTTGGTTTGGCTTCAGTGCTCTGTGTGACAGGGCTACACACTGGCAAGAGGCTTAATCACTACCCAGAATGCGTGGCTTCTGAGAGGCTTGCCCATGCCACAGCGAACCCCATCCTTACTGGGCGCCAGGCTTTCTGGCCTCATGGAAGTACAGTTCTGTTCCAGGCTCTACTCTGCTCCTGAGTTGATTGCCATGGCTTCCCACTGGCAGAGCACTTTATTTCAGAGGGCTGACCTCAGGGGTCCTGCCAAGGCATAGGTCCTCAGGCGGCTTGGGGGTCAAGAGTAGTGTTGTGCTTGTCTGCGCCTCAGTGAAGCC